AAGGCATAAGCAGAGAGGTGAAGATTAGGTCAAGGTAGGTCATGTCTCAACCTCTGGCTTCAGATGTTTCCCTGTCAACCGACCCTACAGCCATAACCTCCTGTTGTTGTAGTGTCTATGTGGGTGTGCACTGTGGACACTTCGGCACGTATCCCTGTTTAGTTCACATCCCACCGTTTCTTTCAATAACAAGTATTTTTACCTACTAGTCTTGGCAAGGCAACTGCGACAAAACACATTAGCATGTATTATGACATTTGTACACATTTTTCTTTCTTGACTTGGCAAGGTTGATATATATTAAGTAATACTTAGGGGATAGCTTGACATTAACACCAGATTTGCCAACTAGCAAAAGATAGGAAGCTACATCTGAACGCTCTACGACGTTTCACGACATAAGCACCCAGACAAAAGATAGGAAACTACATCTGAACTCTCTACGACGTTTCACGACATAAGCACCCAGACAAAAGATAGGAAACTACATCTGAACTCTCTACGACGTTTCACGACATAAGCACCCAGACAAAAGACAGAAAACGATATCTAACTTTCTACGACGTTTTACGACATAAATACCCGGACCCCAAAAAAGTGAATTTAAGGAAAATCAGCGTTGAAACCTTGCGAAGCGGAGTTGAGTGAAGAATTTGTGGGATGAAGCAAGGACGGCCATGGATGAAGGCACTGACAGCTCTGTTACTAGTGCACTACGAGCAGGCTAGATAGAAAAAAAATGCACATTTGAGGAAAGAACGGTTCCTAATTTATAACGTACCCCAAACACGAAATCCCCGTGGGAAATCCACAGCTGACCTGACAGTCCATTATTTCAAGGGGTAGAAGTGTGCTGTTGTGTGGTTGTTGTTGTTTTTTTTTTTTTTTTTGAGTGTTCATCTAGTGTCTTCTAATGCTAACCCTAACCCTAACCCTAAACTTGGCTGTATATAAATCGCGAGAAAGTACAACCTGAACACCCTAGAATTTATTGGGAATGTCTCCCGTGACGTTGTCGTGACGTCAGGGGTAAGTTATAAATTAAGTACCGAAAGAACTGTTACAGCAAATTAGAATGTGGGAGCCAGTGGTTGTTCAGTAAAAGAGTCGCAAGAAATTCAGGCCCTAATTCGGAATTTGCACAGTTATAACGATGTTAAAGAAGAAGATGACGTGACTGTATTTAAATAAATGTAGGATTATGTACATTAATAAATATAGATTTTTGAATCTGAAAAAAGGACATTCCCTGAGACTCAAGTGCATATTCGAAGCCAAAAATGTGAGTCCTCTTTTTATTCTTAAGGAAACATTGGTAGGAAAACACCGTTTTGAATTGTCTTTATTGCTCCACACGCGTCCCAGAATTTCTCACCATTCTCATGCCTCAGTCGAAGCAGGTCGAGGCTGGCTAAAACACCCTCAATCTAAAGTCGATTACATTCACGTGTTTATTCCCCCGGCGTGTCATTGCCAAGTAAATATTCTCTTCCGTTTGCGGTTTTCTTTTCTTTATAAGTAATCGATCACGCCATCCCCAGAGAGCCTATCGCTAGTGTCACCTTACACTTGTGTAGTTGGTGCTGTCTGGCTGGAGTATCGATTACTTCGGGGTGTCAGTTATTGGGGTGCCGTTGTGAAAATGATAATGTGTAAAATGGGTGCGGATTTGAGGATGGAGAATAGTAGAGTCTCTAAGGCAGTACTGGGTTTAGGTATAAGTTAAACAAGCTACAGCTTGGGCCTCACAGTCTGCAGGGGCCTCAGAAATGCGATAATCTTTTAATATGTTTTAAATGAACTGAGATCTGCTAAAGTCAAAGTCTCAGTCTCGCAACACCATGATCAAAATATATAAAACGTTGATAAGACCAGTAGTTTTATATGGCTCTGAAACTTGAAGCACACATAAAAGAGATGAAGGGCCTTATTTCACATTTTCAAAAACAGAATCTTACGACGAATCTTTGGACCCACGAAAGATGCAAACAGTTGGGAATGGAAAGTGAGAAGCAACAACGAAATTCATAATTTGTTTAAATCACCATTGATCACTGGCATCACGAGAGCTAATAGATTGAAATGGCTGAGCACATTGAAAGATTGTCAGATGACAGAAAGGTAAAAAAAAAGAAAAAGTATTGACAAAGGAGATGATGGTCGTAGACCACGAGGCAGACCATGAAAACGATGGAGACATAACGCCCAGAGAGACCTGCAAACACTTAATGTCACCAACTGGAAAGAGAAGGCCAGCCAGAGAGGTGAGTGGAGGCGGGTGCTATCTGCAACAATGAACCTCAATGGCTGGAAAGGCTAAAGAAGAAGAAAAGAAGAGGAGAAGAAGAAGAAGAAGAAGAAGAAGAAGAAGAAGAAGAAGAAGAAGAAGAAGAAGAAGAAGAAGAAGAAGAAGAAGAAGAAGAAGAAGAAGAAGAAGAAGAACAAGAAAAGAGCAACTATGTCTCAAGAAAAATTGTTTCTTCTGATCATCATGTGCATAGAAGATCTGTAAATTACCATCCACTCATATAAAGGACCGGTGTACTGCTCGTCTCCCACATCAAAGAGCTGTTGACCATTACCCCCTTCACCCAACAAAGATGTACACTCATTCTGTTAGCGCGGCTTCCCGTGAAGAGAAACCGTCTCAAAGTCTCACGTAACAATTAATAAACGCTTCCTTCATGCGTCAGCTAAGATTGCAAAATAAGGACATTAACAAAACGGTGAATTAAAGACGGGTATAGAATAACTAATGTAGAGCTTTGGGAGAAAACTAAACAGGCTCTAGTGGAACAAGAGGTGAGGAAAAGACGCTGGCGCTGGATTGGACACTCAATGGCCATGCTTCCCCTCCGAGCTGCTACCTGGAGATTTAACAATCATAAATTACAAAATCCTAATCTGGACGGCAGACCAACAGGGCAGATCACATATACCCCGTTGAACCTTCAAAGAACTTACAACTGGAGCAACAGTAACGTCTACACGAGGCAGGTTAGAGTACATCTGCTAGAGTGGTAAGCAATAATCGCCTGCACACACACACACACAACGTCCACGTGGACGAACAACAAGGAATTTCTATCCGAGCTTACTGCCAGTAAACAAAGAAGAAGAAGTATTGGTAAAGCATAAGTCTCTCTCTCTCTCTCTCTCTCTCTCTCTCTCTCTCTCTCTCTCTCTCTCTCTCTCTCTGAATATATATATATATATATATATATATATATATATATATATATATATATATATATCAGTAAACTGGATAACCCGATGGACGGATGGGTAGAAGTGCATGTAGACAGACGTGCGTACGGGTGGGTTGATCGTTAAATTGCTTGTCGACTGAAAGTGGCAAGAGGAAGTACCGAAAGCGGATATTATGGGAAAGGTCATATGACATCTACTGTTAAATTGTGTTAACACATTCAAATTCAAATTCTCTTTCGTTGACCACTTTCAGCTAGGTCCGCTCACATTTCTGCTCACTTTCCTTTCAGCTATATTTGTGGTGACGTTTTCTGGTCTCGATCTCATTTGATTTTGGATTGTGTTCAATATTGTTGCTTTCTATTTGTTGTGGTTTCCGCTCTTGCTGTTGCTTTTGTAATTTGGCTGGCCCTGTGCTGCGCTCAAGATGATTGGATGTTGATGTTAACATCTGACCTTAGCCTTTATATAACCCTCCCCCTCCTCCGCCTGACCTCTAACCTTTTACCTTGTAATTCAACATAATGTTAATCCATAACCTTTTGCCTGGGATGCTTCTCTATAGTAAAAAAAAAATGACACACTGTGACAGGCTGAATTATATAATTGTCTCCCCTGCAGCCATGTTTAAGGCAATCGGAATCTCATGTGATGACGTAACTACCTGTTGGTTATGGCGGGTTAAAGCAATGTCATTTTCATGAAGAAATAACTGCAATGATTATTATTATGTTTCATTCCACTACAGTGCTTCTTCTTCTTCTTCTTCTTCTTCTTCTTCTTCTTCTTCTTCTTCTTCTTCTTCTTCTTCTTCTTCTTCTTCTTCTTCTTCTTCTTCTTCTTCTTCTTCTTCTTCTTCTTCTTCTTCTTCTTCTTCTTCTTCTTCTTCTTCTTCTTCTTCTTCTTCTTCTTCCACCTCCTCCTCCTCCTCCTCTTCTTCTTATTCTTTTTCTGCTTTCTTTTTTTTTTCTTCTTCTTCTTCTTCTTCTGCCGAAAGTCCTGGTTGTTTGTGAGCGCCTGTTGACTTTTTAAACAAAGACGTTACGCTAGTAATTGGGGAAGGGGAGGATGTTTAACCAACACCCCCCCCCCCCGCCCACCCCAGGTTTCGGCGCCTATGCTATATGCTGCACTATCTGGTGGCAGTCGTGACACATGTCCGAACAATTTGATCTGTTACCTCTTGATATAGATTAGCATTGTTTCTGCCACAGCTTATTTCAGGATATAGTCATTTCTGATACTGTCTCTTCTAGATTTAGAATTCTTTAGCGTTTGTTGTCAATATCCCCTCCTGGCAATGGCGTTAAAATGTTGGTAAAAATACGAAGAAAAAATGAAAGCTTTTTAAAATGCCAAAATGCCTAATTTAAAAAAAAAAAAAAAACCGACATACTCTTTACTTTCAAATGCCAATAAACCGTTTGGAAGATGCATGAGATCTTATTGTATCCTTTCCGCTGTCCGTGCATTATCATGGTCTAAATACCCTAGGTCAGTGGTTTCCAAGCTGTTTGTCTCGAACCTTGTGAGGGTCGAGTGACCCTTTCACAAGGGCCGCCTAAGACCATCGGAAAACACATATTCACAGAAGTTATGAAGTAGCGATGAAAATAATTGTATCTTTGGAGGTCGGCACAACATGAGGATCAGAATTCAAGGATCGCGGCATTAGCCAGGTCTAGAACCACTGCCTTGGGGTTTAATTTTTTGTTGTTGTCGGGATAAGAAATTATAATTGACTTTGTTGTTTATCATTGTCTTGTTTTTTTTGTTTTTCTCATCTGTAGAATTGTCACGTATGAGAGTCAAGCCAAGGACCATAGAAAGAAGATCGAAGCCCTGGGCAACCAGATCGGGGAGTACGAAGGAGAGCTGCACACACTCAGGCACAGGGTTGGCTCTCTGGAGGATGAGAACGCTAAGGTCCGGGAGATTCTGGAGAAAGTCCAGGAGCAGAACAGGCGTCTTCGTGCGGTAAGTGTCACCTTTTGTGGAGAACAGGCGTATTAGTGCGGTAAGTGTCTCCTTTTGTGGAGAACAGGCGTCTTCCTGCCTAAAGTGTCTCCTTTTGTAGATGTTATCAACCAACACGGATTTCGTACATTCGGTTGATGCATTGTGGATAACTCGCAGGAATCGAACAGACGTCTTAGTGCAGGAAGTGTCCCCTTTTGGCAACCAATACGAAATCAATGCACCCAAGTGAGGCCTTGGAAATACGTGAGGTGGTATGTGTTTGTGAATGCGTGCGGGGTATTTTAGTGGACTGTATTACGGGTGATATGAGTGAGTATGTGGGTGTGTGTCTGTGTATGCGTGTGGGGTATTTTAGTTTGCTGTATTACGGGGGATATGATTGAGTATGTGGCTGTGTGTCTGTGTATGCGTGTGGGGTATTTTAGTTTGCTGTATTACGGGGGATATGATTGAGTATGTGGGTGTGTGTCTGTGTATGCGTGTGGGGTATTTTAGTGGACTGTATTACGGGGGATATGATTGAGAATGTGGCTGTGTGTCTGTGTATGCGTGTGGGGTATTTTAGTTTGCTCTATTACGGGGGATATGATTGAGTATGTGGGTGTGTGTCTGTGTATGCGTGTGGGGTATTTTAGTGGACTGTATTACGGGTGATATGAGTGAGTATGTGGCTGTGTGTCTGTGTATGCGTGTGGGGTATTTTAGTTTGCTGTATTATGAGTGATATGATTAAGTATGTGGGTGTGTCTAAGTGGCTCTATGGCTGGATAGATATGCGTGTATGAGCTGATCGTGAATAAGTAGAGTAGACGGAGGGGAAAAAAAGACACACAAAAACAAAAGAAAAGAAAGAAGCCAAGGAGGAGCATAAAAAGGTGGAGTAAGAAGAAGAAGCATTAGCGGCAAAAGTTGTAGTAGTAGTAGTGGTAGTAGTAGTAGTAGTAGTAGTAGTAGTAGTAGTAGTAGTAGTAGTAGTAGTAGTAGTAGTAGTAGTAGTAGTAGTAGTAGTAGTAGTAGTAGTAGTAGTAGTAGTAGTAGTAGTAGTAGTAACAGCATCAGCAGCAGTAGTAGTAGTAGTAGTAGTAGTAGTAGTAGTAGTAGTAGTAGTAGTAGTAGTAGTAGTAGTAGTAGTAGTAGTAGTAGTAGTAATAGTTGTTGTTGTTGTTTTTGTGATGGTGGTGGTGGTAATAGTATAGGTAGTAGTAATAGTTTTGATGGTTGTAGTATCGGTGATAGTGGTGGTGGTAATGATTGTGGTGATTGTAGCGGTTGCTGTGATTGTAGTAGGGAAGATGACGGTATCATAATAGTCCAAGCGGGCATTTACTCGCAAGCTAGATGATTTGTGAGTGTGTGTGTTTTTTTTTCCAGTGTAAACAACAACAGGGACACAGTCGAGAAAGCAAACACTGAGGTTGTTCATCCTCGTTTGGGTGGCGGGGGGGGGGGGGGGGGGGGTTAGCTCCAACCGGCCGAAGCCTTCGTTGAGTGTTTAATAATAATAAAAAAAATAATATTGACTGTAATGACAGTAGACAATAATAATAAAAATAGCATGATAATAATAATGTTCTTAATGGGAAAATTTAATAAAGTCCTCTCTGAAGCCTCATGTGCCACTAGGCACAACGAGAGCTGATGATGATGACTGATGATAGAATAAAAGCTTTGCTCTCTTTTAAGAGTAAAGTTCTGGTTGTTCGTCTACTTCTGGAATTTTACAGAACTTGAGCTTTGTGTGCATATCTATTTTACAGATCTGGCTTTTTCACATGCAGATTGTTGGTTCCTCGCCTCTCAGTAAGATGCACCCAGACTTGGGGGGGGGGGGGAGGAAACAGTCCATTAGTTAGGGGGACAGTGGTTTTATTCTCTTTTTTTTTTTTCCTAATTGCTCACACTGTAACCCTAGAACCGACACGGAGATATATAGTATCATATTCATATGGAAGCTTTTAAAAGATAGCTTCTATATATGTATAATTTGGAGCCTAGCCGAGAGGTTTTATCACTCCTGAATGGTCATTTGGTAAAAGACTTGATAAAGGGTTCTGGCGCCACCCCCACCTTCCCCCCCCCCCTTACCCACCACCCCTCACTCCTGAAAGACAACCTTATAAGAAAAGGTACTGGCGCCCCTGAAAGATAGCTAAATAAAAAATAAATAAAAACAGATTTAACAAAAGGTTCCAGAACCGCCGAAAGGTAAATTGATGTGATACTTTTTATGGATCGATCCATGCAAAACATGCCTTATTCTATTTCTGACACAGGATCTGGACTCTGAGACCGCAGCCCACATTGAGGCTGATTGTCTGGCCCAGACCAAGACTGAGGAATGCGAGTTCTACAAGGACCTTCTGGATCAGGTGAGCACGATCAGATGTATGTGTGCATGAGATTGCTGGTTTTCTTCTTCTTCTTCTTCTTCTTCTTCTTCTTCTTCTTCTTCTTCTTCTTCTTCTTCTTCTTCTTCTTCTTCTTCTTCTTCTTCTTCCTCCTCCTCTTCTTCTTCTTCTTCTTCTTCTTCTTCTTCTTCTTCTTCTTCTTCTTCTTCTTCTTCTTCTTCTTCTTCTTCTTCTTCTTCTTCTTTTTCTTCTTCTTCTTCTTCTTCTTCTTCTTCTTCTTCTTCTTCTTCTTCTTCTTCTTCTTCTTCTTCTTCTTTTTCTTCTTCTTCTTCTTCTTCTTCTTCTTCTTCTTCTTCTTCTTCTTCTTCTTCTTCTTCTTCTTCTTCTTCTTCTTCTTCTTCTTCTTCTTCTTCTTCTTCTTCTTCTTCTTCTTCTTCTTCTTCTTCTCTTCTTCTTCTTCTTCTTCTTCTTTCTTCTTCTTCTTCTTCTTCTTCTTCTTCTTCTTCTTCTTCTTCTTCTTCTTCTTCTTCTTCTTCTTCTTCTTCTTCTTCTTCTCTTCTTCTTCTTTTCTTTCTTCTTCTTCTTCTTCTTCTTCTTCTTCTTCTTCTTCTTCTTCTTCTTCTTCTTCTTCTTCTTCTTCTTCTTCTTCTTCTTCTTCTTTTTCTTGTGCACTTTATCTCCGAGTGGCGTATAGATCTTCAACCAACTCGGCCAAGACGTCCTATCTTTTGTAGCTCATCCAACGTCCTCACAATATGTTTAATTTCACTCTAGTTCCCTTCTTGTGTTGGTCAGCGTGTATTTATACGACACTGTGGGTTCTAGTGTAAAGTCATTCTAGTTTTGCTGCTTTCATGGTATCTTCGCATGTGTTCTATCTAACGACTGCGTCTTTTCTTCACCTGTTGATTTACTGGAATTTATTTAGTTCTCTCTCAAACGCTCCATAAAGTTCTGTATGCAAGGTTTCTCTTGTATTTTTGTTCTCATTATCATGTCACATTATTATCAGGTGATTATAATTTAAGGAACAATATGATGCCCTAAACATCGGTTGTCATGAAATACCAGAAATTCGTTATGCTGATGATACAGTATTACTATCAACATCACAAAATGGTTTAGAAAACTTATTAACCTCACTCCAAAGAAATAGTGAAAATCATAACTTATTTCTTAACATAGCAAAAACAAAGATAATGCATACTAACAAAACTGCCATGGAGAAGGAAATATATGTTAATGAGGAAAGATTGGAAGTGGTGGAAAATTTCGAATATCTTGGGTCACTGGTTACCAACAATGGTGACACAATGAAAGAAATTAAACGGCGACTATCAATTGCTCTTCAAAGACTAAAACAACTGAATAAATTATGGAATTGTACAGATAGAATTACAAAAGTCAGATTTTTAAGAGCATGCATCTTTCCCATTGCAACATACGCCTGTGAGACCTGGACACTTACTAAACAAGCGGAACAGCGCATAAATGCATTTGAATATAAATGTTACAGACAGGTTCTAAGAATATCTTGGGTAAAGAAAAGAACAAATGCATCCATACTTCAAGAGCTGAATATTGAAGAGGGTTGGCTAGTAAAGACAATAAAACAAAGAAAATTGAAATATTTTGGTCACTTGAAACGTCATGGAAGTCTAGAGAGAACAATAATGGAGGGGTATATGCCTGGGAAGGAGAAGATGGGTGCAGGATGTGGCAGATGATCTCCAGATGGGTGTATCAGACGCAGGACATCTTGCTCAGGATAGGAAGGTTTTCCGGAGGGTTGTTATGGCAGCGAGGTTCCGCGAGGGACATGCTACTGAATGAATGAATGATTATAATTTTCGTGTGATCATCATCACTATCATGTGATCATTATCATTGTCCTGTTGTATCACTGTACGTCACACTGGGCTCACTAATCTTACGTTACGTTGTGTCCTGTACAGTACTACCGATATCGTGAGTGAAATCTAGTCCGGCACTGTTGGCCTCTCTCATCACATTTTCTTTTTAGGTTTCTCTTCCACTAGCTAGTTTCCTCAATTCGTTTGTCTCCCAGTACAATACCAACCCCTTTGGCTTCTGTCATCAGTTTTCGTTTTAGAGTTGCTCTTGCATGTCCTAGATTTACTAGTTCATTTGTTTCCTAGTACAGTACCTATCTGCTAAATCTCCGGTAGCTCCTTCTCCGGGTGTGCCCGAATTAGCGATAATTGTCTTTGCCTTACAACAGTTGAAACTATTGGTTGTCCAGACTGCCTCTTGTTTCTTCATATTTCTTGAAATAGTCCCATTTAAAGCATATTAGTTATCTGACGCATTTAGTTTACTAGACATACAATATACCTCACGTATGTGTTTACTAGACATATAATATACCTCACGTATGTGTTTACTAGACATACAATATACCTCACGTATGTGTTTACTAGACATACAATATACCTCACGTATGTGTTTACTAGACATACAATATACCTCACGTATGTGTTTACTAGACATACAATATACCTCACGTATGTGTTTACTAGACATACAATATACCTCACGCATTTGTTAACTAGACATGCAATATACCTCACGTATGTGTTTACTAGACATGCAATATACCTCATGACATAAAATGATTGCTGTTGATCCCATAGATTGAGCTGCTGAAACCAGAACCCATGCAGATCAAGGGTATGGATTACGCCGACTTCTGGAAGTCAGAACTCAGCAAGTGTGTCCGTGAGATTCAGGCCGCCTACGATGAGAAGATTGACCTCATCCAGCAAGACTGCGAGGCTAAGTTCTCGTCCCAGGTAAGGCAGCTTGTGCAAGACATTTTTCTGTTGACTAAATGTGGAAGTCGGCTCTGTGGCTAAGTCGATGCAAACGCTTCGTATTGCCGGGATGCCGTGTTCGATCCCAGCTGCGGGCCATTGGCCTTGCGTCGGTTTCGACAGTGGTATCAAGAAAGCCGACCGTCCAGGGAAATGGCAAACTACTGGACGTAAATTTGCCTAGAGAAACCACACAACAGCCAGGGGCTGTTAAGGTTGGTTCTGCAACGTCCTGTAAAGGATACGCAACCAACCTTAAATAATGTGGAAATAATCCGGGTACAATCTTTTTCGGTAATTGTTAGTGCTAATCGGGTGTTAATCGTTTGTTGTGCGGTCCTGGTGGGGTTGATTATCAGTTAGTACATGGTAACGGTGGTAAAGTTGGAAGGGAAAAGAGACCGACCGAGAGAGAGAGAGAGAGAGAGAGAGAGAGAGAGAGAGAGAGAGAGAGAGAGAGAGAGAGAGAGAGAGAGAGAGAGAGAGAGATGGCGGATAGTTTAATATCATTCTTCTTCTTCTTTTGTCAAAATCTGCTTGTGCCGCTAGGCGTCGCAGTCTATCAGATGATCGGCAACCGAGCCAGGGCGCGCTCGGTCGCTTCATATGCCGTGATGTTATGAAGTCTCAAGTTGTCCGTGACTCCTTCAATCCATCTTCTTCTTGGTCTTCCCCTGCCTCTTGGTGTTTCGATTTTCATGTTGTATGCTCTTGATGCTGGCATCGTTGGTTAAATTCTCATTAGGTGACCAAACCATTTCATTCTTTGCTTCTCAATAAATTTAACGATGGGTATAGTTACAATAGTTCTTGTAATCACATCGTTTCTCACTTGATCTCTTCTGGTTTTATTCGTATTAATATTTGATATCATTATCTGAGGCAAAATCACATAAAAATACACGAGACAGAGGGTTGTGGATCCACGTGATTACCAACGTGATACGTTAGGACTATAAGAAGAAGAATATTAGTGCTAAAACAGCGTTTGACTTCTTCTTCTTCTTCTTCTTCTTCTTCTTCTTCTTCTTCTTCTTCTTCTTCTTCTTCTTCTTCTTCTTCTTCTTCTTCTTCTTCTTCTTCTTCTTTTTCTTCTTCTTCTTCTTCTTCTTTTCCTTCTTTTTTCTCTTTTTCTTTTCTTCTTCTTCTTCTTCTTCTTCTTCTTCTTCTTCTTCTTCTTCTTCTTCTTCTTCTTCTTCTTCTTCTTCTTCTTCTTCTTCTTCTTCTTATTTTTCTCTTCTTCTTCTTCTTCTTTTTCTTCTTCTTCTTCTTCTTCTTCTTCTTCTTCTTCTTCTTCTTCTTCTTTTTCTTTTTCTTCTTTTTCTTCTGTCGGCTCTGTGGCTAAGTCGATGCGAAAGCTTCGCTTCGTAATACCGCGATGCCAGGTTCGATCCCAGCTGCGGGCAATGCGACTTTCGTTGGTTTCGACAATGGTATCAAGAAATCCGACCGTCCAGAAGGAATGGCAAACTACTGGATGTAAATTGCCTAGAGAAACAACACAACAGCCAGGGGCTG